GAGATATATATATATATATATATATTTTTTTTTTTTTTTAAGCATTTCATTTCAGTTAATTAATTCCAACCAAAGTAAATTTTTAAGGGAAACTATTATGATCTGATAATTCTTTATGCCATTTCATGGTCCTACGTCTACTTCCCCTCTCTTTGGGGAAGTAGAGGTAGTTATCCCTACATTTTTTAATAGCACATGCACAAGTATGTGACCTAGAACAAAGCCTTGCAAGAAACCGTCTTTGATCTCACAGAAGTGTGTGTTTTTTTTCAGAAGAACTATCGCATAAATTTTAAGTGTCTTTTTTTAGTTCCAGAGAGTTGTCTTTCCAATTAGTACAGGAAATAGTGGTGTTTATTTGGGGCCAAAGAAGTGGTTGAATTTCTGAAGTGAGGAAAGGCATTTGAATTGAATTTCATGAGCTAAATTGGCTTAATTTCTAAATTAAGAAGTTGACTTGGGCAGGATAGCACATCACGGGGTTGCGGTTCATGAATTTATTTGACTATATTATCGGCCTGGATTCAGTCTTCAGTTTGGTTGTTACTGTATTGAGCTTGTGTCTAGCTAGTTAATTACTCATTCCTACAGCATCCCAGAAACACTGTTTGGGCAGGTTTCGGCCTGTTGCTTGGGATCTGGTTTTGCGATATTCTTTTTACCTTTGAGTTTGAATCCAGTCAAGGGAGGAGAATTGAGTCATTTCTCTCATTTTCTCTTCATGCAAAGTGTCTAAATATAAAAATGCGAGTAAAGGAGTTCTTTGGTTATGTAATTTCTTAGCATGGATGTTGTTAACCTGCTAGTTCAGTCACTTCCAGATGAATAAGAGCTCTCTCCCTCTCTTTTTCGATCGAACAAACCTTCAGTCAGAACTATTTCAATTTGTGGGGATTGGATGAGTGTCTCAAATGTATTTCCGAATGATAATAACTTAAAATCTGGTGTCTTTTCTGAGAGCATGGAGAGCTGTTTTGGTTGATTTCTTATTTTCATTTTACTTCTATGTATATCAGGGACCCCTTGTCCTCCATAGGTTTAGCTTTTATATTTCTTATTTTTCTGATGTGACTTCTACTTCTATCCAAATAATTGTTGTACAATGCAAGTTCATAACCTAGAGATATCTTTCCGTCTCATCATTAATCTGCTATTCTTTTTGGAGGCTTGGGCAGTTACAGTCTAACATGGGCGTTTTCATTGTTTATTTCTTATGCTTTTTCTTTCCTCTCATATGACTCCTGTCAAGTACTACTCATGGCATGACATATTTCTATCCGATGACATGGTATCTTTTTCAGATATGCACACTTACTTCCTAAGGATGAGGAAGCATTTGAGCATTACAACTCTTTCTCAGCCAAAAGACTTGATGAGGTAGTTCAACTTATTATATCTGGATGTGCTGGTTGCATTCATTAACCAAAGGCTCTGTAATATTTTATTTAGACGTTCTCTCTCTCTGTATTGGTTTAAGTGGTATCCAGTAAGCATGTACTTATTTTCCTATAGCTTACATGTGTGTCAATGTATTTCCTCGAGCTTTGGAATGTCATATCGACAAGAAGATTTACTTTTCCTATGTACCTGTGAATCTCTGATGTTTATATCTTTCCTGTTGTTCACGTCATCACGTGTGCCCATATATTTCTTTGAGCTTTGGATTCCATATATACAAGAAGATTGAGTTACTTTTCCTATGTACCCATCAATCTCCGATTTTCATATCTACTGTATTCACTTCTATCCGTGGTCCACTTACTCAATGACAAATAGATGTATTGACTGTTAAAGTTAACATTTGATCTTTTTTGGCCTTGGACAAACAGGCTAATAAGATTGGGAAAATTAATCTTGCGGCAACTGGAAAGGATCTCATGGATGATGAGAAACAAGGAGATGTAACTGTAGATCTTTTTGCTGCTTTAGACATGGAAAATGGGGCAGTTGCTGAAAGGTCCTCGGAGCTCGAAAATAATCAAACTTTGGGATTACTGATTGGTTTCCTTGCAGTAGATGATTGGTAATTCTGAAACTTGAAATTTGAATTGCAATTGTTTTAGGGTAATTAACTGTAGCTAGTCTCTCTGTGTGCATGTGGCTTGCTTGTGATGGTGCAAGATGTATTGCCAAGTTTGTTTCCTGCTCATGATCATGGTTGCTGGTCCTTGTGTTGTCTTTGTCTGCCATTTTAGTCTTAGCTGCTAATGTTCTCTTTGGGGCCTCATAAATGTGACCAATTTGTGATACGTTTTCCACTATGAAAACGATATTAAGAATTTGAAATGAACCTAGATAGCGTACTCTACTCAATTTCTTTTGTCTTTAGAAAACCCATGAATCTCTCTAATGGAAAATTGTGATGGAGATTTCGTTGAAGTCTTTCAAAAAAAAAAAAAAAAAAAAAAAAAAAAAAAAAAATAAATATAAAA